GGGGGGGGCAGTGCGGTTTGGGGAGGGGGGGCTCCCGGCGACCCCCCCCGGGCACGGCGGGGTTTTGCACATTCATTGTTCAGCCGGTGCCGCGACGTCATCGGGCCGCGGCCGCCGCGGCGCCTGTCGGGACAGCGAGGCCCTGTCGGGACAGCGGGGCCCTGTCGGGACAGCGGGGTTCTGTCGGGACACGGGACAGCCCGGGGAGGCGGGGGTTTGGCCCGTGGAGGGGGGTCACGTCCTGGGGCTCTGTCGGGACAGGGAGGCTCTGTCGGGACAGGCAGGGGGCAGGGTTTGACCCGCTGGGGGGGCAGCCCAGGTGTGACCCCCCCCCCCCTTCCCCCCGCCACGTGTGGCCACAGGCGGAGCACGAGGACCGGAACCCCCAAAATGAAAGTGGATCGGACGAAACTGAAGAAAACCCCCACGGAGGCGGTGAGGGCTTGGGGACACTCGGGATGGGGCTGGGGACACTCGGGGAGGGGTTGGGGACATTCGGGATGGGGCTGGGGACACTCGGGGAGGGGTTTGGGACGTTCAGTGAAGGGTTGGGGACACTCGGGGAGGGGTTTGGGACGTTCAGTGAGGGCTTGGGGACATCAGGAAGATGTTGGGGACACTCAGGGAGTGTTGGGGGGACAGCAAAGGGCGGGGATTGGAGATGTTTGGGGGGTGTGGACATTGGGAAGGGAACTGGGGGGTTTTGGGGACACCGTGAGGGGACATTGCTGAGTTCCCTGTGTCCCCCAGCCCGCCGACTGCCGGGCCCTCATCGAGAAGCTGAAGGGCTGTAGTGATGAGCAGCTGGTGACAGAACTGCAGCAGATCAAGACATGGAACATTGGGAAGGTGGGAGGGGGCCCCAAAACTTGGGGGGGGGGCCCAAAACCTGGTGGGGGATCCCAGAACTTGGGGGGGTCCCGAGGCGAGTGGGAGTTTCCTGAGGGATTGTCCACAGTTGGTCAGGGTGGTGCTGAGCTTGTCCCCAAACTGGTTACTGCCACAGGGGGTGTCACCCTGGAGCACCCCTAAATTGCAGGGAGCACCCCCAGATTTGGGGGAGGGGGCACTCCAGAGTGTTTCTCAAATGAGGGAGGGGTCCCTGGTCTCAGGTGAGGTCCCTCAGCCTTTGGGTGGGGCAGTTCAGGAGTTCTCTGGAGGTTTAGAAATGGGGGGGCTTTTACATTTCCTGAAGTCCACTCCAATGTTAGGGGATCCCCCCACGTTTTATTTACCCTTCCCTAAATTGGGGGGGCTCACCAGTGTCTTCAGAGCCCCCTTGGAATGGCAGGGGGCACCCCAGAGTTCCCAGGACACCAAGGTGGGGGGTCCCTATATTTGTTTGGGTGTAAATTTTCTCTTAGGGATTCCTAAAATTCTAAGGAGGAGCCTTAATATCCTAAAAATAGTGGGGGGAGAACCCTGTAGACCCCAAAGCATGTGGGGGTACCTCAGTTTCCCCCAAACACCTGGGGAGGACTCAGATTTTTTCCCAGCCTCCAAAACTCCCATTTTCTTGCCCTGTGTTGGGGAGGGGGCTCAGCTGCCACCTGCACAGGCTGGGCTGGGATATTGGGGTTCCTTCTTGGAGTTCTCGGGGTCCCCCCTGGGATATGGGGGTTCAGGGGTGCTGGGCTGGGGGCTGGGCTGTACCCAGGGGTGTCAGGGAGCCTGGGTTGGGGTCCAGGCTGTGCTTCCAGCCCCACATCTTACCCCTAACCCCCCCAGTGTGAGCTGTACCCCTGGGTGGATGTGGGGGGTTCATGGGGGGCTCGGGGGGTCCCAGGCTGTGCCCCCAGCCCCACATCACCCCCTAACCCCCCCCCTTAGTGCACACTATATTCCTGGGTGAATGTGGGGGTCTGGGTTGGGGTCCAGGCTGTGCCCCCAGCCTCACATCCCCCCCTAACTTCCCCTCACAGTGTGAGCTGTACCCCCTGGGTGGATGTGGGGGTTTGAGTTGGGGTCTGGGCTGTACGCAGGGTGCTCGGGGGTCTCAGGCTGTGCCCCCAGCCCCTCATCCCTCCCCTAACCCCCCCTGTGTGAGTTGTACCACTGGGTGGATATGGGGGGTTGAGTTGGGGTCCAGGCTGTGCCCTCAGTCCCACATTCCCCTCTAACTTCCCCTCCCAGTACGAGATGTACCCCTGGGCGGACCTGGGAGTCTGCATTGGGGTTTGGACCATACCTGAGGGTCTGGGTTGGGGTCCAGGCTGTGCCCCCAGCCCCAAATCCCCCCCTAACCCCCCGCACAGTGCGAGCTGTACCACTGGGTGGACCTGCTGGACCGCTTCGACGCGCTGCTGGCCGAGGCGGGCCGGCCGGTGGAGGCCATGAGCTGGATGCTGGCCTGCGACCGGCCCGAGCGCCAGCCCCTCAAGGCCCTGCTGCTGGCCCTGCTCAACTTCACGGCCCTGCTCATCGAGTACAGCTTCTCCCGCCACCTCTACAGCTCCATCGAGGTGGGCACGCCCCCAGACCCGCCCTCTGCGTGTCCCCAGGCGTGTGACACGCTGACACACCTGTCCTGTCCCCGCAGCACCTGACCACGCTGCTGGCCTCCTCGGACATGCACGTGGTGCTGGCCGTGCTCAACCTGCTCTACGTGTTCAGCAAACGCTCCAACTACATCACCCGCCTGGGCTCCGAGCGCCGCGGGCCGCTGCTGGCTCGCCTGCAGCACCTGGCCGAGGTGGGCGGGGTTTTGGGAGGTTTTTGGGGGGATTTTGGGGGGTTTGGGGGCTCAGCGGGGCAGCAGGGCTGAGCTGGGCTGGTCTCCCTACAGAGCTGGGGTGGAAAGGAGAATGGATTTGGGCTGGCTGAGTGCTGTCGGGACCTGCACATGATGGTGAGTGGCACCTGCAGGTCACCTGAGCTCGTGTGGGTTATCTTGTTTTGTCATGGGAGCCCCCAGAACTCGTGTCTGTCACCTTGTCCTGTCTGAGCACTCACCTTTGTTACCTTGTCCTGTCTCAGTGGTCCCCAGAACTCACCTGTGTCACCTTGTCCTGTCCCAGAACTCACCTGTGTCACCCTGTCCTGTGCTGGGGGTCCCCAGAACTCACCTGTGTCACCTTGTCCTGTGCTGGAGGTCCCCAGAACTCATGCCTCACAGGACTTTCTGTCGTATCTTGGTGTGACCTGTTCCCAACATCACTTTTTGTGTCTTTGTGACATCCTGAGGCCCCTTGATGCCGTCCTGGGGTCTTCAGTGCTGTCTGGTGTTCCCTCAGGGGGTCCCCAGTGCTGTCCTGTCCCCAACACCCTCCCATGTCCCCCAACACCACTCTGTCACCCCTGTTGCATCCTGGGGTCCCCCCCACCCCTTTCCCTATGTGCCAGTGTCCCCCAGCCTGGCCCTGTCACCCCAGGGGAGGGGACTCTGCTGTGCCCCCCTCATCCCTGTGTCCCCCCCAGAAATACCCCCCCAGTGCCACCACTCTGCACTTTGAGTTCTACGCTGAGCCGGGCGTCGAGGTGAAGGTGGACAAGAGGGTGAGTGATACTGGGGACATTTTGGGACATTTGGGGACATGACGAGGCCCCCAAAACACCGGGGCCACCCTTTGACCTCCTATGACCCTTCCAGGCCACCAGCACCACTCTGCACTACATCCACATTGAGCAGCTGGACAAGGTAAGTGTGGGGGCCACCTCGATTTTGGGGGGGGGGGCTCTGCTTGGGTCAGGGCCCCCCTGTACCCTGCACTGCCCTTTTGTTCCTCTGTCCCCTGACTCTGTTCCTCTGCCCCCTAATTTTGTCTTCTGTCCTCCTATTTTTCTCCTGCCCCTCAGTTTTGTTACTTGCACCCCAGTTTTGTTCCTCTGTACCCAGTCTTTTTTGTTCACACCCCAATTTTGTCCCTTGTCCCCCTCAGTTTTGTCCCCTCTCCCCCAATCTTGTCCCTACACACCCCAATTTTGTCCCCTGCCTCCCCAGTTTTGCTTCTGCTCCTCCCAGTTTCTCTTTCCCCTCCTCCCCCAGATCTCAGAGAGCCCCTCGGAAATCATGGAGTCCCTGACCAAGATGTACAGCATCCCCAAGGACAAGCAGGTGTGTAGGGAGACATCAAGGGGACGCCCATGGGTTGGGGGGTGACCCTCAGACCCTCCCTAACACCCCCAAATCCTCTTTCCCCCCCCTCAGATGCTGCTGTTCACCCACATCCGCCTGGCCCATGGCTTCTCCAACCACAAGAAGCGGCTGCAGGCGGTGCAGGCGCGGCTCCACGCCATCTCCATCCTGGGTGGGCCTTTGTTAGGGCTTGTTTTAATTGGGGGGTGGGTTTAGGGGGTCGGGGGGTGCCTTTGGGGGGGTCCTGGGGCAGTTGGGGTAACCCCCTCTCTTCGCAGTGTACTCCAACGCGCTGCAGGAGTCGGCCAACAGCATCCTGTACAACGGGCTGATCGAGGAGCTGGTGGACGTGCTGCAGATCACCGACAAGCAGCTGATGGTGAGGCCCAGGGACCCCCGGGGCCGAGCCCTGTCCCCTCACCTGTCCCTTGTGTGTCTCCTAACCTGTCCCTTCGTGTGTTCCCTTTACTAACACGCTGCTCATCAAGGATGTGAACGTGGCTCACCTGTCCTGTAGCTGTCACCTCACCTTTTCTGCATGTGTCACCTCACTTGTCCCGCATCTGTCACCTAAGTTGTCCTGTACCTGTCCTACACTCTCGTGTTTTCACGTGTCTTGTGTGCGTCCCTTCGCTTGTGCTTTCACTTGTTACGTCATCTGTCCTCTTGTGTATCCCCTCACCGGTGTCATGCTGCATGTGCTGCTCATCAAGGACATGAGTGTCCCTCCTCTGTCCCACACTTGTCCCTCACCCATCACATCATCTCTCCCCTTGTGTATTCTCTCACCAACGTTATGCTGCTCATCAAACACATGAATGTCCTTTGCCTGTCCCACCCTGTCCCTCACGTGTCCCTCCTGTGTCCCTGCCAGGACATCAAGGCGGCCTCCCTGCGGACTCTGACGTCCATCGTGCACCTGGAGCGCACGCCGAAGCTCAGCAGCATCATCGACTGCACCGGCACCGCCTCCTACCACGGCTTCCTGCCCGTGCTGGTGCGCAACTGCATCCAGGCCATGATCGGTGCGTGCCGGGGGCTGGGGGGGTCACCTGGGGGGTGTGACCCGTCCTAACCACACCTGTGCACCCCCAGACCCTTCCATGGAGCCCTACCCCCACCAGTTTGCCACGGCGCTCTTCTCTTTCCTGTATCACCTGGCCAGCTACGACGCGGGCGGCGAGGCGCTGGTGTCGTGCGGCATGATGGAGGCGCTGCTCAAGGTGAGTTCTTCTCACCTGTGGGCAGATCTCAGGTGCCTCGGGGACTGGCTCACCTGCTTTCTGTCCCCTCACCAGGTGATCAAGTTCCTGGGAGACGAGCAGGACCAGATCACGTTCGTCACGCGGGCGGTGCGGGTGGTGGATCTCATCACCAACCTGGACATGGCCGCCTTCCAGTCACACAGTGGGCTGTCCATCTTCATCTACCGCCTCGAGGTGCTGCCCCCTTCCCCCTGCCCTGCTTTTGGGGTGCCCCGGGGGTGTTTTGGGGTCCCCTTGGGTGGTTTGGGGTGCTGAGGCTCTGTTCCCCCCAGCACGAGGTGGACCTGTGCCGCCGCGAGTGTCCCTTTGTCATCAAGCCCAAAGTGCAGCGCCCGCCTGCTGCCACCCTGCCCGAGGGCGAGGACATGGAGACTGACATGGAGGGTGAGCAGAGGCTGTGTCCCCCCTGTGGTGTCACCCATTCCCCCCGTGGTGTCACCCATTGCCCCTGCAATGTCACCGTGCCTCTGCAGTGACCGATGTGGCCATGGAGAGCAGTCCCGGCCCCTCGGCCGAAGCCCGGCCGGACCCGGTGCCACCAGCCCTGCCAGCTGTGCCCAGCACCAGCGCTGCCACCCCCTCCCCACGCGGTGGTAGGTGCCCCCCGGGGCTGGGGACAGTGGGGACATCACTGGACCCCAGTTTGTTCCCTACACGGAAACCCTAATTCCGTCCCTACGTGGACACCCCAATTCTTCCTATAGGGACACCCTAATTCCTTCCCCATATGGGCACCTTAATTTTTGCTACAGTTCCTCTTATACGGACACCCCAGTTCCATTCCTGTATGGACACCCCAGTTTCTTCCCTATGTGAACACCCCAATTCTCTTTACATGGACACCCTAATTCTGTTCCTATATGTACACCCCAATTCCTTCTGCCTATGAGCACCCCAGTTCCTCCCCTATGAAGACCCCAAATTCTTTTTCACGTCTGTCTCTCTCTGGGGACACCCCAATTTCCTCGTGTGCCCCCCCAATCCTCACCCTATGTCCCCCCCAGGAGTGCAGTGCATCCCCCAGCGCGCCGCTTTGCTCAAATCCATGCTGAACTTCCTCAAAAAAGCCATCCAAGACCCCGCCTTCTCCGACGGCATCCGGCACGGTGGGTGGTCCCCCATGTCCCCAAATGCCCCTGGGGGGTGGCAGGGGTGGTGTCACTGACCACACGTGTCCCCACAGTGATGGACGGCTCGCTGCCCACCTCGCTGAAGCACATCATCAGCAACGCCGAGTACTACGGCCCCTCGCTGTTCCTGCTGGGTGAGCCACGCCCCGGCCCCACCCGGGCAGCGCGGGGCGGGCACGGAGCGGGGACCCCGCCAGGTGCTCTACCTGCCCTCAGTGCCCCCCTCTCTCCTCCGCCGCAGCGACCGAGGTGGTGACGGTCTTCGTGTTCCAGGAGCCCTCGCTGCTGTCCTCGCTGCAGGACAACGGCCTCACCGACGTCATGCTGCACGCTCTGCTCATCAAGGACGTGAGTGGGGCTTAACTGATACCTGTCCAACACCTGACACCTGTTGCCTTGTGTGTCCCGTCACCTGTTTTCACATCTGTTGCATTTCTTGCCGTGCACCTGTTCTGCGTTCTTGTACCTGCTCCATTTCCTGCCCTATCCCTGTTGCATTTCCTGCTCTGTGCTTGTCTCGCATCCCTGTACTTGTTCCATTACCTGCCCTACACCTGTTGCTACATCTGCCTTTCACTTATCCCCACACCTGCTTTGCACCTGTCCCATTTCCTCTCCTACACCTGCTCCAGGTCTGCCTCTCACCTGTCTGTTCACTTGTGCATGGCCTGTCCCCACTCCTGTCCTGTGCCACCTGTGCTAGTGCTGCACCTGCCCCAGCTCCACCCCAGACCTCCCTTCCTGCAGGTGAGCCTGCTGCTCACCTGCCCATGCTGGTGCCACACCTGCCCAGCGTGTGCCCCAGCTTTGCCCCACACCTGTCCAATGTCTGTGCCAGCTTTGCCCCTCACCTGCCCAGTGCCTGCCCCACCAATTGCCTCTCCCTTGCTCCAGTCTGTGCCAGCTTTGCCCCTCACCTGCCCTGTGTCTGCCGCACACCTGCCCCACACCAGATGTGCCCCCAGCCCCTGCCCCACACCAGGCGTGCCCCCAGCCCCTGACCTGCCCTGTGCGTGCCCCACACCTGCCCCAGATGTGCCATAACCCCTCACCTGCACAGGTGCCGGCGACGCGGGAGGTGCTGGGCTCGCTGCCCAACGTGTTCAGCGCGCTGTGCCTGAACGCGCGGGGGCTGCAGAGCTTCGTGCAGTGCCAGCCCTTCGAGCGCCTCTTCAAGGTGCTGCTGTCCCCCGACTACCTGCCCGCCATGCGCCGCCGCCGCAGCTCCGACCCCCTGGGTGAGCGGGGGACACGGGGGTACTGGGGGGACTGGGGAACATTGGGGGGACTGGGAATACTGGGGACACTGTGGGGACTGGGAATACTGGGGACACACAAGGTGCTGCTGTCTCCTGACTACCTGCCCACCATGTGCCGCCACCACAGCTCCCACCCCCTGGGTGAGCATGGGACACGGGGGTGCTGGGGATACTGAGGACATTGGGGGGCTGGGGATACTGGGGTGTACTGGGAATACTGGGGACACTGTGGGGACTGGGAATATTGGGGACACACAAGGTGCTGCTGTCTCCTGGCTACTGCCCACCATGCGGTGCCAACGCAGCTCTGACCCCTTTGGTGAGTGGGAGGTATTGGGGGGACTGGGGTATAGTGGGAATGCTGGGGACACTGGGGGACTGAGGACACTGGAGATACCAGGGACACCAGGGATAATGGGGGCACTGGGGACCCAACAATCTTTTTAGCAATACATTTTGCTAACATTTAAATAATTCCCTCATTTTTTGGAGGTATTTGTGTTTATTTTACGTACCATCCCCTGTTCATTTAACTCTCAGAACCTCTGCCCCCAACCCCAACAAAACCTGCTCTGCGCTCCCCAAAATCTGCTCTTCCCCCCCAAAATGCTCTTTGTCCCCCCAGGTGACACAGCCTCCAACCTGGGCAGCGCCGTGGACGAGCTGATGCGGCACCAACCCACGCTCAAGACCGACGCCACCACCGCCATCATCAAGGTGACAACTTGGGGACATTTGTGGGGCTTCAGGACCCCCCAGAATCTGTCTGGGCCCCTCCTAAATGCCAGCCCCTCTGCAGCTGCTGGAGGAGATCTGCAGCCTGGGCCGGGACCCCAAATACATCTGCCAGAAGCCGTCGATGCAGAAGGCGGACGGGACGGCGGCCGCGCCGCCCCCGCGCTCGCCCCACGCCGCCGAGGAGGCCTCGAGCGAGGATGAGGAGGAGGAGGAAGTGCAGGCCATGCAGAGCTTTGGGGCTGCCCAGCAGAGCGAGGCAGAGCCCAGCCAGACGTGAGCAGGACGGGGCTGGCTGGGGGGGTCTGGGGTGTCCCCAGGTCACTGTGGTGTCCCCAGGGATCTATGGTGTCCCCAGGGATCTGTGCTCAGTGCTGGTTTGTGGATGGTCTGGGGTGGAGAGGGTCCTGAGGGAGCTGGGGAAGGGTGTGGGGAAGCTGGGGAAGGGTCTGGGGGATCCTGGGGGAGCTGGGGAAGGGGTTCAGCCTGGAGAAAAGGGACTGGGGGGAAATTTAGGCTGGAAATCAGCAAAAACTTCCCAGAATGGGTCTGGCAGGGAGGTGATAAAGCCAAGCCTGGGTGTGACACTTGGTGACAAAGTGATGACAAGGTCACAGAGTGGTCTCAGAGGTATCTCCTGGCGTCGTTAACTCTTGATTTTGCTTCCTGGGGTGGGAGTCACACCTCCCTCACCATTCTTTCTGTGCTTGCAGCGTGGTAGGCACGGAGGAACGCATCCCCATCCCGCTCATGGACTACATCCTCAACGTGGTGAGGGCTACTGCCATCCCTGGGGGGTCCCCACTGGTCCTGACCCCTCCTTGAGGAGGTTCAGAGCCCCCCTGACACCCTTTTATCCCAGATGAAGTTCGTGGAGTCCATCCTGAGCAACAACACCACTGATGATCACTGCCAGGAGTTCGTGGCCCAGCGGGGGCTGCGGCCGCTCGTCACCATCCTGGGGCTGCCCAACCTGCCCGTGGACTTCCCCACCTCTGCAGCCTGCCAGGCCGTGGCTGGCGTCTGCAAATCCATCCTGGTATGGGCTGGGGGGCTGCAAATCCATTCTGGGGGTCTCAGGGGTCTGCAAATCTGTCCTGGTGCAGCTTTGGGGGGCTGCAAGTCCGTTCAGGAATGGACCCTGATGGTGCTCTCTGTTTCCCCTGTGTCCCCAGTCTCTATCCTCTGATCCCAAAATCCCTGTAGGAGGGTTCAGTGACCCCCGGGGAGGGTTCAGTGACTCCTCAGTGACCCCGATGTCCCCTCTCTGTGTCCCCAAACTCTCTCCCATGAGCCCAAAGTGCTGCAGGAGGGTTCAGTGACCCCTCAGCAACCCAGATGTCCCCTCTCTCTGTCCCCAGTCAGTGTCCCACAAGCCCAAGGTACTCCAGGAGGGTTCAGTGACCCCCAGGAGGCTTCAATGACCCCTTTCTGTCCCGCCAGACTCTCCCAAGGTGCTGCAGGAGGGTTCAGTGACCCCCAGGCGTGTTTAGTGACCCCTCAGTGACCCCGATGTCCCTTTTCTGTCCCCCCAGACTCTCTCCCACGAGCCCAAGGTGCTGCAGGAGGGGCTGGTGCAGCTGGAGGCCGTGCTGTCTGCGCTGGAGCCGCTGCACCGGCCCATCGAGGCCCCGGGGGGCTCGGTGCTGCTGCGGGAGCTGGCCGGGGCCGGGGCCGTGCCCGACGCCACGCTCTCAGCCCAGGCCACCCCCCTGCTGCACGCGCTGACCGCCGCCCACGCCTTCATCATGATGTTTGTGCACACCTGCAGGGTGGGACAGGTAACGGGGGAGGGGTTTTGGGGGGTGGGGTTTGGGGGGTTTCAGTGGGGTTTCGAGGGGTTTGAAAGGGACTTGGAGGCTTGGGGAGGGGTTTTGGGGGGTTTTGAATGGGCCTGAGGTGGGGGGTTGAATGGGGCTTGGTGGATTTTGAATGGGGTTTGGGTGGGTGTGAGGCTTAGAGGATTTTAAAGGGGGTTTGGGGGGTTTCAGAAGTGGTTTGGGAGCAGCTTTGGGTACTTAAGAGAGCTTTGGAGGGGTTTGAAAGGGGCTTGGGGAAGGGCTTTAGGATCTCAGGGGGTTTTGGGGGTCCTTGCTGTCCCCCCAGAGCGAGATCAGGGCCATCTCAGTGAACCAGTGGGGATCCCAGCTGGGGCTGAGCGTGCTGGGCAAGCTGAGCCAGCTCTACTGCTCCCTGGTGTGGGAGAGCACCGTGCTGCTGTCCCTCTGCACCCCCAACAGGTACTGGGGACACTGCGAGGGACTGGTGAGGGTTTGGGAGGCACTGGGAGGGCACTGGAGGGACTGGGAGGGACTGGTGAGGGTTTGGGAGGCACTGGGAGGGCACTGGTGAGGGATTTTGGGACACTGGGGGGGACACTGGGCTGAGCCAGCTGTGTTGCTTGCTGGTGTGGTGCACCCCAAACAGGTACTGGGAGGACACTGGGGGCACTGGTGAGGGTTTGGGGAACACTGGGGGGACACTGGGCTGAGCCAGCTGTGCTGCTCCCAGTGTCTGTACCCCACTACCAGGTTACTGGGGGGCACTGGGGGGGCTCTGTGGTGCCCAGGAGGTGCCCCCAGCCCCGTGACACCCCTGTGCCTCCTCCCCAGCCTCCCCCCAGGCTGTGAGTTTGGCCAGGCTGACATGCAGAAACTCGTGCCCAAGGAGGAGAAAACGGCCCCCAGCCCCCCCCAGGGCGGCCGCAGGGCAGGTGGGGCTGGGGGGGAGCATCTGGGGGCATTTGTGGGGGTTTGGGGGCGATTTATGTGAATTTTGGGAGGATTTATGGGGGTTTCATGGGGATTTTGGGGGGTTTGGGGGGCTTTATGGTTTTCAGAGGGTCTGGGGGGATTTATGGGAGTTTTGGGGAGGTTGGGGAGGGTTTCTGGGGCAGGTTGGGTTTGGGGAGGTCTTGGAAAGGTTTATGGGGGGTTCTCTGTGTGGGAGGTTGATTTTGGGGCAGGTCTCCATGGGGAAAGGTCAGTTTTGAGGGGTCTCTGTGGGGCAGGTCAGTTTTTGGGGGGGATTGCTGTAGGAAATGTTGGGTTTGGGGGGTCTCTGTGGGAAAGGTCAGTTTCGGGGGGGGGATCTCTGTAGGAAAGGTCAGTTTTGGGTGGGGGTTCTCTGTAGGAAAGACTGGTTTTTGGGGGTCTCTGTGGGAAGGGTCTGTTTTTGGGAGGATCTGTAGGAAATGCCAGTTTTTGGGGGTGTCTGTGGAAAGGGTGAGTTTTTAAGGGACATCTCTGTAGGAAAGGTCAGTTTTTGGGGGATCTCTGGGTCTCTCACCCTCCTCCCCCACAGAGGGCGAGGCAGAGGGCCCGGGCCCCTCGGTGGGGGCGGGCAGTGACCCCCCCCCAGCCCAGGGGCTGCTGGAGGGGATGGGGCTGGAGGGGGAGCCCCTGGCCCCCATGGAGACGGACGAGCCCAGCACCAGCGACCCCAAAGCCAAAGCCAAGATCACCCCGGCCATGGCCGCCCGCATCAAACAGATCAAACCCCTGCTCTCCGGTGAGGGGGGGTCCAAAATGGGGTGGGGGGCTCCAGGGGTGGGTCAGGGGGCTCCAGAAATAGCCTGGGAGACCCTAAAACTGTGTTAGGGTGGCCTCTAAAACAGCTTGGGGGATTCCAGGGTCTCTTCCCTGTCCTGCCCCAGGTCTCAGCCCCGTGTCCCCCCCTGTCCCGTGTATCCCTCTGTCCCCTGTGTCCCTCTGTCCACTGTGTCCCCCATCCTCACCCGGGGTTCTCACTCTGTCTGCTGTGTCCCCTGTGTCCCCCACAAGGGTCTCACTGTCCCTGTGTCCCCACAGTGTCATTGCAGCTGGGCTGGGCGCTGGCCGAGCTTGTCCTTCTGTCCCCCATGTCCCTCTGTCCCCACCTGGGGTCTCACTGTCCCCGTGTCCCCACTGCCTCATCGCGGCTGGGCCGGGCGCTAGCCAAGCTTGTCCCTCTGTCCCCCATGTCCGTCTGTCCCCACCTGGGGTCTCACTGTCCCCGTGTCCCCACAGCCTCATCGCGGCTGGGCCGGGCGCTGGCCGAGCTCTTCGGGCTGCTGGTCAAGCTGTGCGTGGGCTCCCCGGTGCGGCAGCGCCGCAGCCACCACGCGGCCGCCGCCGCCCCCGCGCCCACCGCGGCCGCCCGCGCCACGGCCTCGGCGCTGACCCGCCTGCTGACCAAGGGGCTGAGCTGGCAACCGCCCCCCTACACCCCCACGCCACGGTTCCGGTCAGTGACCACGGGGACAGGAATGGGAATGGGGATGGGAGAAATTGGGATGGGATGGGATGGGATGGGATGGGATGCTTTGGGCTGCTGGTCAAGCTGTGTGTGGGCTCCCCGGTGCGGCAGCGCCGCAGCCACCACGCGGCCGCCGCCGCCCCCGCGCCCACCGCGGCCGCCCGTGCCACGGCCTCGGCGCTGACCCGCCTGCTGACCAAGGGGCTGAGCTGGCAACCGCCCCCCTACACCCCCACGCCACGGTTCCGGTCAGTGACCACGGGGACAGGAATGGGAATGGGGATGGGAGAAATTGGGATGGGATGGGATGGGATGGGATGGGATGGGATGGGATGGGGAAGGGCACGGCCTCGGCACTGACCTGCCTGCGGACCAAGGGGCTGAGCTAGCTGCCCTACATCCCAATGCCACACGTCCAGTCAGTGACCATGGGGACAGTGGGGACATTGGGATGGGATGGAATGGGGATGGGATGGGATGGGGAAGGGCACGGCCTCGGCGCTCACCTACCTGCTAACCAAAGGGCTGAGCTGGCAACTGACCCCCTACAGCCCAATGCCACGCTTCTGGTTGGTGACCACGGGGACAGTGGGAATGGGAATGGGAATGGGATGGAAATGGGAATAGGGAACAGGATGGGGATGGGAACAGGATTGGGAACAGGGGAGGGAGAGGGAATGGGAATGGGAATAGAGATGTGCATGGGAATGGGAACGGGAACAGGATTGGAAACGGGAGAGGAGATAGGAACAGGGATGGGGAATGGGCAGGGTTGGGAATAGGGCAGGGGTGAGGCTGGAACAGGAGGAGCTGGGAGTGGGAATGGGGAGAGGTTGGGAATGAGGAGGAGCTGGGGAGAGGGGAGGGGCTGCGATGACAGGGACAGGGATGGGAGGGACAGAGACAGGGTGGGTCTGCCACCTCCAGGGGCCAGAGCTTGGGCAGTGCCCGTGCCCGGTGCCGTGGTCAGTGCCCGGTGCCATGCCCAGCACTGACCCCTCCCGTGCCCCCAGGCTGACGTTCTTCATCTGCTCGGTGGGGTTCACGTCGCCCATGCTGTTCGACGAGCGCAAGTTCCCCTATCACCTCATGCTGCAGAAATTCCTCTGCTCCGGCGGCCACAACGCCCTCTTCGAGTGAGCTGGACACTGACCTCACACTGGCCACTGGCCATGGACACTGACCAGACACTGACCGCACACTGGCCATGGACACTGACCATGGACGCTGACCAGACACTGACCCGACACTGCACACTGACCATGGACACTGACCCGACACTGACCACTGACCACTGACCATGGACACTGACCAGACACTGATCATGGACACTGACTGGACACTGCACACTGGTCATTGACACTGACCATGGACACTGACTGGACACTGCACACTGACCATGGACGCTGACCAGACACTGACCTGACACTGATCACTGACCATGGACACTAACTGGGCACTGCACACTGACCATGGACGCTGACCATGGACGCTGATCATGGACACTGACTGGACACTGCACACTGGTCATGGACACTGACCATGGACACTGACTATGGACACTGACTACACACTGACCATTGACCATGAACTCTGGGCAGACACTGACCCAACGCTGCACAATGACCATGGGCACTGACCATGGACACTGACTGGCTACTGAGCAAGGACACTGCCCAGGCACTGACCTGACACTGCACGCTGACCATGGACACTGACTGGATACCAAGCATGGACACTGATAGGACACTGGACCCTGGCTGCACAGTGACCCGACACTGCACAGTGACTGTGGACACTGCACACTGACCATGGACACGACCATGGACACTGTCTGCGGACACTGACTGGATACTGAGCACGGACACTGACCACGGACAGTGGACACTGACTGAACACTGACTGTGGACACTGGACATTGACTATAGACAATGACCATGGACACTGTTCACTGATCATGGACAATGACCGTGGTTTCTGTACACTGACTGGACACTGACCATGGATACTGACTATGGACACTGGACACTGATCATGGACACTGACCAGGCACTGAATAATACACTGTGACCACGGACACTGACCAGTGCCCCTGGACACTGACCCCTCCAACTCCCTTCCTCTGCGTGGGGGGGATGCTCCCATGACCTTGGGGGTCGCTCCCAACACCCCAAATCCCTTCCCCTCCCCCCCCGCCTCAGACCCTTTAACTGGTCACTCCCATGACCTTGGGGGTCCCTCCCATGACCTTGGGGTCACTCCCAACACCCCAAATCGCTTTTCCCCACCAGGACCTTTAACTGGGCGCTGTCCATGGGGGGCAAGGTGCCGGTGGGGGAGGGTCTGGAGCACCCCGACCTGCCGGATGGCACCGGTGAGTTCCTGGACGCGTGGCTGATGCTGGTGGAGAAGATGGTGAACCCCAGCACGGTGCTGGAGTCCCCCCATGCACTGCCTGCCAAGGCCCCCCCACATGGACACCCCCCCTTCAGCGCCCTGCGCTTCCTCGTGGTCACCCAGAAGGTGGGCAGGGGAAAAAACGGGGTTTGGGGAGGGGGAAATGGGGTTTGGGGAGGGAAAAATTGAGTTTGGGGGGAGGAGATGGGGTTTGGGGAAGGGAAATGGGGTTTGGGGAGAAAAAATTGGGTTTGGGGGGTGAAAAATGGGTTTTGGGAGGGAAAAAGTGGGGTTTGGAGAAGGGAAATAGGGTTTGGGGAGGGAAATGGGGTTTGGGGAGAAAAAATTGGGTTTGGGGGGTGAAAAATGGGTTTTGGGAGGGAAAAAGTGGGGTTTGGAGAAGGGAAATAGGGTTTACCCAAAACCAAACAAACCTGGGAGGGGAATGGTGCTGGGGCGTTAAAATGGGTTTTGGGGGGAGAAAAATGGGGTTTGGGGAGGGAAATGGGGTTGGTAGTGGGGGAACCCCATTCCCTCTCCCCAAAACTCATGGCCCCACCGTGTCTCCACCTTCTCCCCACCGTATCCCATGTCCCCACCGTGTCCTCACCCTGTCCCCTCCGTGTCCCCAGGCTGCGTTCGCCTGCATCAAGCAGCTGTGGCAGCGGCGGCCGCTGAAGGTGTACGGCGGCCGCATGGCCGAGTCCATGCTGGCCATCCTGTGCCACATCCTGCGCGCCGAGCCGCTGCTGCGCGAGCGCCTGGGCCGCGAGAGAGAGGGACCCGCGCCCGACGAGCCCGGGGGCGACGAGGGGGGGGCCCGCAGGGAGCCCCACGTCAACCAGCAGCAGCTGCAGCAGGTGTGGGGATATGGGATGTGGGGGGGCGGGCTGGAGAAATGGGGGGTGGGATG